TTATAAAAAACTTAAGGGATGGGGCACAATGAAAAAAGGCTCTAAAATAACAAAAAATGTATGTTTAGCAAAGAATTTTAGAGAATAAGATGCAAAGATGACGAGTAATGATTCCTTAAATTAAAGAAATAGAAAGAAAAGGAGAAAGTGCAAAATCGAGATGATGATAGAAACGGTTTAAACTGAACAAATTTTATAAAAACCTTTAGGGAAGGGGCACAATAAAAAAAATCTTTAAAATAACGAAAATCGTATTTTTAGCAACGGATTTTAGAGAATGAGTTGCAATGATGACGAGTAATGATACCTTAAATTGAAGAAATAGAAAGAAAAGGAGAAAGTGTAAAAACGAGATGATGATAGGGACGGTTTAAACTGAACAAATTTTATAAAAAACTTAAGGGAAGGGGCACAATAAAAAAAGTCTTTAAAATAACAAAAAATGTATGTTTAGCAAAGAATTTTAGAGAATGAGTTGCAAAGATGACGAGTAATGATACCTTAAATTAAAGAAATAGAAAGAAAAGGAGAAAGTGCAAAAACGAGATGATGATAGATACGTTGTAAACAGACCAAATTTTATAAAATCTTCAAGGGAAGGGGCACAATGAAAAAAGTCTTTAAAATAACAAAAAATGTATGTTTAGCAAAGAATTTTAGAGAATAAGATGCAAAGATGACGAGTAATGATTCCTTAAATTAAAGAAATAGAAAGAAAAGGAGAAAGTGCAAAAACGAGATGATGATAGAAACGGTTTAAACTGAACAAATTTTATAAAAAACTTAAGGGATTGGGCACAATGAAAAAAGGCTCTAAAATAACAAAAAATGTATGTTTAGCAAAGAATTTTAGAGAATAAGATGCAAAGATGACGAGTAATGATTCCTTAAATTAAAGAAATAGAAAGAAAAGGAGAAAGTGCAAAAACGAGATGATGATAGAAACGGTTTAAACAGAACAAATTTTATAAAAAACTTAAGGGAAGGGGCACAATAAAAAAGTCTTTAAAATAACAAAAAATGTATGTTTAGCAACGAATTTTAGAGAATAAGATGCAAAGATGACGAGTAATGATTCCTTAAATTAAAGAAATAGAAAGAAAAGGAGAAAGTGCAAAAACGAGATGATGATAGAAACGTTGTAAACAGAACAAATTTTATAAAAAACTTAAGGGAAGGGGCACAATGAAAAAAGTCTTTAAAATAACAAAAAATGTATGTTTAGCAAAGAATTTTAGAGAATAAGATGCAAAGATGACGAGTAATGATTCCTTAAATTAAAGAAATAGAAAGAAAAGGAGAAAGTGCAAAAACGAGATGATGATAGAAACGGTTTAAACTGAACAAATTTTATAAAAAACTTAAGGGATGGGGCACAATGAAAAAAGGCTCTAAAATAACAAAAAATGTATGTTTAGCAAAGAATTTTAGAGAATAAGATGCAAAGATGACGAGTAATGATTCCTTAAATTAAAGAAATAGAAAGAAAAGGAGAAAGTGCAAAATCGAGATGATGATAGAAACGGTTTAAACTGAACAAATTTATAAAAAACTTGAGGGAAGGGGCATAATGAAAAAAGGCTTTAAAATAACAAAAAGCAATGTTTAGGAACGAATTTTAGAGGATGAGATGCAAAGATGACGAGTAATGATACCTTAAATTGAAGAAATAGAAAGAAAAGGAGAAAGTGCAAAAAGGAGTAGATGGCGGGAAGGCGATTTTAAACGAGGTTTTTGCCACCACGAGAATTTTTAATAAAGTATGTTGTTGTGTTCATAGGGTCGCCATGACAATTTTATTCAAACGTAAGTTAAATTTTTTATTAGGGTCTCTTATTATACATTTAGGACATAAGATGGTGTCTGACGCTCAGAAAACTTGAAAAGAAAAGTTACTGAAACGTCTCTATGCAACAGGTCTGGGAAGTTTGCCACCCCTACCCCATCGGGCCTGGCTGCGGGTTTGTGGGGTCTTTTCCAGCAGTGAATTTCGAAATTTTTCCACCCATTTTGATAAAAAGCAAAAGTAAAAAGTAAATGCACTTTTCTAGCAATGGTCTACGAACAAAAATTTTAAGAAGAGGATGTAAAAGTAATAAAAAATAACTGAATGAATGTTCTTTGGCCCCCAGACAAAATCTTTTCTTTTTAATTTTGGATAAGTTCCCCGGCTCTCTCTCAATACTTATCGTATATTCCTTGTACCCCTGAACGATCCTCCAAATGGGGTGATCTACTATTTCGCAATTAAAATTCTAATGAAAAAAATATATTTCTCTTTCAAAAATGTTTCATTTCAAGAAACTTTGGTTGGCATCTGAAAGATGGAAAAATTTAATAGTAAACATTTAGGCCTATGTATGATGAGCACAAAAAACTTCATAATATAATCTATATTCTTTACTAGACATACCTTTTGGATGTATTGGACCATCTTCATTTGCCTTTACAGCTTTTAATGCACTGAATAATTCCCTACTTGATTTCTCTCTCGTTCCCGATTCCACGAAAAACTTTGGAAGCCATTTTTCTAACATCATAGGCCTTTTAGGGCATGATGGGAAGGCAAGGGCTCCTCCGTAAAGGAAACCAAAGGGTATTAAATATGTACCGTAAATCCTCGAATTAGCCCCCTGGGGGCTTATTCATTTTTTATATTTTTGGATGGGGGCTTATTCGAGGGGGGGCTTATACGAAGGGAGGGCTTATACAATTATTTTAGGCATTAAGAAGGCATTATTGAAAGACCTCGCTTATTTTAGTAGGAATTTCTTTATGAGCATGTAGTTAATTACCACCTAAAGTATGAATTTGTTGTGATGGTAAAACAAATTGCAAAAATTATCAAATCGAGGGGTCCAATTTGATAATTTACGCTAGCAGTGGGGGCTAATTCAAGGGGGGCTTATTGACAGTTGTAGTTCTAGGGTGGGGGCTTTTTCGAGGGGGGGGGGGAGCAATTCGAGGATTTACGTTTTGTAAGATGCAAAGGTTATGAATTACGGCACTTTATGAATATGTGTGAAAATCACAATTGGATTTCGAAATTGTGAAATCTTTGAAATTGATCCTTTAAACAAATGCTGCATCTGTTCTGTTAGGTAGATTATTTTACAGCCTTATTTGAAACTAGAACCGTGGAAAATGAAAGGTCAATGGCCAAATGTAGATTTTTTACCTTATATTGTCATGGTCGGATCTAAATAGCCCTTGTCTTCAAAGGAGTGAAATGAAAACTGGATTTTATATTTAGGTACGTTGTTATTGATCAATGGTTGTCTGTATAACAAATATGTAAGTATTGTAACGACCCAGGGTTTCCTTATGGACAGTGTCACGTGACAATTGCATCGTTGCGCTGTAATTGCATCAGCGTTTGTGAATATGTTTTTGTATTACGTAATTATTATTTTAAGGTTTGCTTAGTGTATATAAAGGGTTGTTTCATAAGTTAGCAGGAGTCTTATCGAAAGATAGCATAGACAAATTGAGACTAAAATGATTAAGACCATAGTCTACATCTTTCCCAAAGCGGATTTTCCAGAAGAGGATTTTCAGGAACATCACAGAAGAAGATTAATCCCAAAAAAATTGACAAAAGCAGAGACAATTTCAGTCTAGGAGATGCATTTCAAGCCATCCTAGAAGGCTTAATTTCAAAAATTTCTTTCGCGTAGGACCCAGCCCATGGGTCTTCTTTTGTCACTAAACTTTGGTCTTAGGCCCCCAGACTCAATTTTTGTGGGCCCCGTCTCTGAAAGTACGAAGCACAATGCTCCAGTTCGTCTACAATCTCTCACGCTAATTTCGTGCAAGAAATACTTTTCATAGAACTTATCTGTTATTAAGAAGTGGGTCCAGTTGAAGAACAGAAGAGTTCGACTCAGTGTTTCTGAAAGTTGAATAAACTACGTGACTACAAAAGCTTATTTTAGAACTTTCATAAAACTAATAGTTTTACAGCTGAAGTTGCTTTGTAACAGCTGAAATTGAAATATTAACAATGCCGAAATCTTCTGATTGCATCAACGTAGTGTACGCTGCCAAAATGTACTCGGTAGATAAAAACTTGCATCCCCCCAACCCCCCCCCCCTCAAATAAGGTACCTGAAACCGGGCCTGGTTACAGTTATAATAGAGAGTAGCGTAGCCAGGGTGGTAGATTGGGGGCAAAGAGAGGTGGGCAAGGGAAAAATGGGGGTCCACATCTTTTGGAACGCCAGAAACGCTCTTTTTCAAGGAGACTTTTTGCAATTAGGGTAGAGCATCCTCACCCTCTTGTTTCCCCTCATTGTGCTACTGATGATAAGATGTAGAATGGTAAAACGTTGACTATATCAGTTAAGAGTCACACATGAATCTACATCTACCATTTGATAGCAACATTTTTCAACAAGATGCTGTCAGTAAGAAGAAGGTGGTAAATATACTTTTTGTGCACTGATAAATGCATAAGTTATTGTTTTTGACCAAAGTCAGTAAGTAGGGCGTTTCGCAGGAAAAGATTCCTTACTAAAAGCGATTTTAGAATTACGGGAAAGCCAGTGAGCCTTGGCGAGGAAGAGTGAATACAGGTAAGTCTAGTGCCAATATATTTTGAGATATATAACGAGAATTTTCTGATGGAGAGAGATGAGATTAAGTATGAATTTAAAGATGAATTACTGACATGCGCAGCCCATATTTAACTAAACAAAGCAGTTGAAAACCTGCAGCAATTCATCCTGTTTTGTAAAAACAGCACAGAAACGCGAGAAATGGTAGAGAAAGTAAATTCACGTGAACGGACAGTTTTATCAAGCCTCTTTTCTATGACCTGGTCCGAAATGGACAACGAAGGCCCACACAACATTGGTGCCAACATTATTGGTTTCAAATTTCATTCTCCATACCTGATTGAAGTTCTTCAACAAGAAATTTACGCAGGAGAACATTTTCTCAAGTTGTTACCAGGTGTTTGATCCAATAAGACAGAAAAAAGAACATGGATATTCCTCCAATCACTTTCAAGACAATTTATCATGTACACACAGCTTACGAATCGATATACAATGAAATTTTATTACCAAACAAACATCAAACAAATGAGTCAATTATTTCACATAGTCTTTAAGCATTCTATTTTGTAGAGCTTCGGGTGCGCTTGTTCCATGAAAAATTGGCACCATAGCTTTTTGGTTTGATTGATGTCGTCTTTGGCTCATCTACTTCATATTTCCAACCTTAGGAGGAACAAAATTTCAAAAAATTACTCACTGATCCACAATTAAAGAAAACTCACAACTAAAAAGAACCTAGAAGTTTTTACTAGAATCTATTCTTTAACCTTTCTTATATAATACTATGTTTTCATTCTAAATTGATAAATCTCTTAAAACAATTAAAATATGACTTTTTAAAGAGCTCTGATTTCATTACCTCTACAATAAAGACCACTCTATCTTACTTAACTTGTGCAGTGTCTTACCTTGAGTTTCAGCATAGGCAATGGCAGATTCCCTTGTATCAAACTGCAGTTCCATGTTAGACAGTGGGTCAGCTCTAGCAAAAAGAGAACCTATGATCAGCAACATAACACTTAATTGTGCAAATTTTCATTCAGCATTCAATCAATTTATTGGCCCTTAGGAGTGCAACTGAAACAAGGCTCCTAACTACGAACTGCAAGGTTTCACTGATACTCCATTGGTTTGTAGCATGTTAAGCAGAAAAGCAAGATGTACGAATGATAATTTTTCTCTTTAAATATGGGCAGTTTAGATTTATACTTCAGTTAAAGTACTTCAAAAGTTTTTGAAAATAAAGTGAATAATTTGAAGAATTTTGTTACATCATTAAATGAGATGAGATGTTATGTTACTATATTGTAACATAACATCTCTTTTTATATGAAGAATTTTCAGCATCATTTGCAACATTGTAATTGATTAAAACAATGATTGATTGACTTGTAGACTTGTTTATAAATGCTATAGATTGAATTCTGTTGGAACAAAGCACGAGACTGCCTAGTAAAATCGCCATTGGACACATTGCAGCTGAAATTTTAGCCTGTTCTTTTATTACAGCAGTTAAATGTGCAGACACAAAATCACAAAGCTAGTATCTTCTTAGTTTATCTTAACAAAACCTCATCTTAACATGTTTGAGCAATGTATTTAAATCTTTGAATTGCAACATTTTACAAGTACCCTATCTTCACAGTTAAATTTTTTGTCATATTGCTTAGAAACACAAAATGATTGAGAATAAATTAACATTAATTAGTAACTGTGAAAATTAATGTTCTTCCATCTATCATAAAGTGCTTGATGCCATATAGGCAGGACTGTGCATGTTTTTGGTGTACAGAACAGCACATTTCTTGGTTGCTACTCCAAGTTTCTTGATACTTTCACATTATTGCTTTAGAAAATGGTAAACTTACAACGTTCTCTAAAACTATCCTACTGATTCACTGTCAAACCTTCCCAAAAATTACACCCTTCCCAAAAATGTTTGACTAAGATATAGAAATAATAAACTTTTTGTCTTACGTTGATCCCCATCCCATCAAGGGATTTTCCCATCTCTCTTGCGTATCAAACTCCATTGTCCACTTCCGAGTATTGAAAGTCCCAGACTGCATTGCTGTTCTGGCAGGGACTGTTATAATCACTTTTCTACTTTTCACAAGCTCTTCTGGTACACCGGTAACTGGGTATATGTCTTTCTGAAATGATATATTTGTGAGAATTCATTATATAAAATGCAAATAAAAGCTTTGAGTATCATCAGAATTTAAAAGAACAAATATAACTTTCAAATTACTTTAAGCATTTTATTCTGTTAAGCACTAGGCTAATTCAACTTTCTGCCTCAATACCTAATTCAAGTTTCTTTAAAGACAAATTTTAATTTCAATTTGACATGAGAATAAGAACAAACTTGTGCTACACTGGCAAGCAAGAAAAATTATGTCCAGTGTACAGTTAGTTGCCAAAAAGTGCAAAGTGGATCTCAAATATGCATTGGTTTTAATTGCAAATTTATTGTTTTCCCTATAATATTGCTAGTAAGGCAACATGCCTCCACAAGGAGGTTTCACAGATCATAAGCACATAATATATTTTATTTTGGTCAGCCCTGTCTTTGGGATCCTTCTTGATTCAGATCTGCAGAGAGGACAATCCTTTATAAACCTGTTTGGATTTCATGGCAGTTTTTGACTAGATCTCTAGTTATTATAAGCAGAGTGCACAAGCTATTAGCCGGGAGTGCCAGGTGCATTTGTGATAAGTGTGCAGGTCCACAAAGGAGTGTGCACAAAATTTTTCAGTGTTTCTTGAGTTTGTCCATGTTTTTTCTTTTGGCATCGATCAAGTTTAGATCAAGTTCCCCTCACAGGTATTCAATGATGGAGAGTTGAATCTAAGCTGTACCTACAAATACCATCAGTGGCATTCAATCAAATTCCTATAGGTTTAGCAAGCAAAGGAATAATTTTAGAAAGAATTTTTAAAAAGGACAAAAACATGAAAATCCAAATAGATGATCTCTAGCTGGGTCACCAAGAGGGAACAAGGAGCACATAGCCCAAGACCTTAGGCCCAGGGAGTCCCATAAGGGCCTAAAAATGGTAAAGCGTTTATAAGTATTGCAAGGAAATGACTGCAAGAATTATAAATAAATTTGTAGTCACAATTTTGTTTGCTTATTTTGCTCCCAGGGCCACATTTTCCTATTTTGACCTAGGGCTCAGAAACTTCTTGGCAGCCCTGATCTCAACAAGATCACTTGATTTAGAATGACATTTCTTTTGTGAAAAACCTTAAAAATTCACACTGTGATCTTAAAAAAGACTTGTAAATTTAAGTCACGCCCAGGGCCACGCCCAAACCATGCTCATCATTCAGGTGTTTAAGAGTGCACTCACAATTGTACAAACATTTCTTGGGAGTGCAGCTGCCATGAAATCTATACTGGTTTATACCAGACTGTAAAGTTTGGTCTTCGCAAGGAATGTGTTCCCTGTGTAATAATTTTAATCCTTCATTCTGCTCGTGCCTTATTAAGAATCTGCCATAGATTCTGCACACAATATTTGTTTATTCGGTCATGTTCCTTGAGAATATTCCACAATTTTATCTTCCGACTTTTGATAACAAGAAAAATAAATAATACAAGGTCTTTTCAAAAGCCTTTTGCTACAAATTCTGTGCAAGATTTCACAGGAATTATCTGCAAAACTTCAAAATTATTGTTCTGGCTTTCCCCGTGCAGATAAAATACTTCACAATCTGGCATTATTTATAAACATGCCAATTTGATTTCGGTGCCGTTTTATCTGCAGTTATGCTGGATTGATGAGTAAATAAATATGAAAATTTTTGTACCAACTGTATTGGCAAGCCATCTTTTTCTAGTTAAACTTTGGCTAGAATTTGTACCATCGAAAAATCCCAGAATGCATATTGGATTTTGGGAACTCTAAAACTTATCCCCTGTCCGGTCTGCAGAGTGTGGCACTTTTCGACAAGATCTCCGGTGTGCACGAGCAAAAAGCCTGGTGTGCCGGTGTGCACCACCAAAAATGTCTGGTGTGCTGGTGTACACCGACTATTTTTCCCTGTTGTTGTTGAAATTTGGGAATTTACATTTCACTGTAAAAATGCGTGTGAAGTATACTGTTGAAGAAAGCGCAAGTTTTTATTTGTATATTTGTCAAGTTAGATTCATGATATCTTAAATTGTTCATACACAACTGTGCTTGTTTTTATCAGCTGACATTTTCTATGGGACCACACCAAGCCACACCAATCTTATTTGCCACACCCAAAAATACCCGGTGTGCAACAGGTTTTGCACAAAAATATCTCCGGTGTGCACATGCCATACTATGCAGACTGGTCCCCTGTGGCATCATATCATACTTAAACAAATTACAAATGTTTGGATGTAAACATCATTTGCATGAAGAAGACAAAAAAAACAGTCGCAGAATATTTATTGGGCTTACATTTAAAAACATTCTATATCTAATAGCCATCAAGCCAGAGGTTTTCGTTTAATATTATCCTATGTTCAAATTATAATTATGAAAAATTCTTGTGTCGTACCTCTTGAGCTTCAAAACTCTTTACATCCTTTGTGTCTTTTCTTTCAATAAGTACTCTATTCACACTACTTGTGGACAAAAGTCGAGAGTATGAAAGCAGAGTTTGAAGTGGTCTTGAGCTACATCTTATTACACCCGCCATCTTGGTACACACAGGTACTACTTTGCTCCCCTGTCTTCGCGAATCTCGTTCTCGTCAGCCTCTTCTTCTTGTCTCTATGACCACAGAACAAGAAATATTATTTTTATATTCTGCTTGATGAAAGTAAATTTTAAGTACTGAAGCCGAATTTGTAGAGACTTAACTATGGAATTTTCAAGCAGCTCTCGAAATGGAAGTGTCATTGAAAATGATGGGCCTAATTACGAAGTGAAGTTTGGCAAGACTCTTCTAGAAAACTGGGTTGAAGAAGTAGGCCATCTACACATTTTAATCAATAGCTCCATTACCTAAACAGAATTTGCACATATTTTATGACTGTCCACAACCTATGTGTTACGATTAAAATTAATCGCTCAAAACTTTCTTTATTTTGTATTATTCTGGAAAATCAGTCGCTCCTTTTCACAGTTTTCCTGATTTGTTGCGTTCTAATCGAATTGTTTGTCACCATTTGACAATCATCTGAAAACACACCCCAATCGACAGAGTTTTCGTCAAATTTATCAATTTTAAAGTTATCTATATTAGTAATGAAAATGTTGTAAATCCATCAATTATATTCTGCATTTCAGCGTCAATGTGCGGGTATTGACAAAGAACCCAAAAATATCAAAACACGTAGAAGGTCACCGGGTAAGTTAAGTATAATGCAATTTAACCAGTTAATTAATCTAACCAGGTTATTAGAAAGTTGCTTAATTAAACAGTTGCCAGGGGTGGAAATATTGTTTAAGGCAATATCAGAAACAATAGAGCATCAAAGCATATGAGAAAATAAACTCAACTTTTATTAAAAGCTTTTTGTTTTATAAGTGTCTGCCAGTATTGGTGCCGCTAGGGGGACTGGGGGGATGCTATGATTTTCAAACTGCCTTTACATAACTAAAAGTTATTCATGGGCATTCCCTTCAATTAAAATTGGTGTTCCTTGTTGGTAAAAGGCGTTTTCTGGTGGTAAAAGGGCATGGTCTGAAAATTTTTGTTTTGTCGCCCCTTCCCCAGAGCCTAATACCTGACACCCCCATTGGTATCTGCTCTTACCTTTGAGTGCTGCTGATGTCTCTTAGCTATGTGAAGAGAGGTCGGGGAGAACATGCATTTGATTAAATTCAGATCATTCAAAGTTTATTACATCATTACATAAAAATACAAAATTGGTACCTTGGGTTTATTCATAAATAGCTAGAACTAATAGCACAGGAAGTACAACAAAAAATTACTTAAAGATAATAATGAAAAGTGGTAACTAAATTAGGGTAATTTCTAGAATAATGAACTCTTTTAAAAGCTATGCCAATTGAGGTGAAATTTCCCTACATTGGTAACCATTGCAATGCTGAAATGTCTCTTTGCACCACCGCCAACCCCAACCCTGAATTACCACAACAGTCACTGTTTTTGGTATCAACTTTGGCCATCTCCCTGCTCCAAATAAGCTGTTGTCTGCCATAATTTGATTTTTCAAATGCAAAAAAATTATATTCTTTTGTTTGCTTGATACAAACTTAAAATTTGTAACGCTATATAATTCCTAAACTGGAAGGTTTATCCAAATAGCTGCAAAATAGTGGCAGATGCCCCTCAAATTTTAAAGGACAAGGACCTTTTGTTCTGTAACAAAGAGAAGATGTGACACCATCTTCTCAAAACAATAGGCTTGCCCCTCAGTATTTGACCAAGGGTCCACCTCTGCTGCAAAATCGTAGTGAAACAATTTCTAAAAGAAATTATTCTATTCATACTGTTTTAAAAAGTAAAAGCTTTATGAATAATGCAAACTTTGCAAATAAAAGTTTTCATTTCCACTTGTTATTGTACTTAAACATTAATTCCAGGGAATACTGACAAAAGAGTTTGATTCAACCGTGTCAACTTTATCAACTTGTAAAGATTCATACAGAGAACCACAGAAAAATAATGTTCGTCAGAAAGGCAAAAGACTTGAGATGCTTGAAAGACATTTGTATCAACAAATAAGGTGAGGAATAAACACTTGCAAGAATAGTGGATATTTGTTATGTAGCAATTGTACCTACCCTGCTTGAGGTCCCAACTGAGGTAGTACCAGCATGCCATCTGTTGGGACAGAACTCCTTTGGAGAAGGAGATGATGATAAGCTTTGTTGATGAAAGACAGAGCAAGGGCAGATCACAATGCTGGTGGACAGACAATATCGAACGCCTGTTGATTGCTTCTCTAGTGTACTGCATCTGCCAGGCACCAGACAGGTTGTGGGATGTAGTCACCAGAAAGGGGGAAGTGTACCAGGCTGGATGGTTATTGATTGTGATCATGATAACCTAATCCATTGCATTGACTATTAATTCAAATGCAATCCTAAACTTAATAGGTTTCTTTACTGTCAGTGGTTGATAAAGTAGATTATTGCTGTACACTTACGAGTATAAGACATTTCGCAATGTAGTAGTCACAATAAGATAAAACTTTTAAAATTCAAAGTAGACCTCTTGTAGCATTTATTTCCCTACATGCCTTAATTGGATGAACTTTCTTATTAGCGCCAAATTCAATTATAAAAATGCTTTATGCCAAATGTAGCCAAATGTGTTCAATTTAAATTCAATATATCATTTATACCTTTGATATTTTCAATACATTATATCTTCGAAATTGTCACTTAGACTGAAAATTTGTTATGACCTCTAGCAATGAAGTGAAGCAAGAATTCAACCCTCCTCCTCCAAAAGTGGATTATACATCAACAACAAAGAAAGACTTCAGCAAGGGTATGCTTATTCCAATGGTTTTAATACACATTTACACATGCCATGTTTTGCTTTATCAGCAAGGTTAATTTGCATGCTAAAAATTTAGCACTGATAGCTTGTGAGAATTTTGTAAAATTACAAACAATTTCTGGTTCTTACTCCTTGGAGATACACTAAATGTGGGTTTACACACTGCTGTAGGAATTAGAGGGTCAGGGGGAGGGGATGGATGCTTCAGTCACCCAATGATTCCTAAAAAATGCTTAAATCTACTATTTGCGTTATTTTTCCTATAACCTTAAGCATTTAAACCCTCTCCCCAAAAGAAATCATCAACAAGACCCTGGGTATCAACCACGTAACTGTAGATGTCAGCTAGGGTGGGCAAACTCAAGCAAGAACCATACCTGAGGGGGGGGGGCAGGCTTTAAAACAAGAGAGCAGATATATAACAAACATATATATTTGCACTAAATCAAGCTCACGGAACTATAATTATACCAGCTTTTCGAAATATCATTTGGAAAAAGTTTAGCCAGAGGGTGCAAGTTCTTGTCAAAATTTTCATTTGGGGGCACAGCCCCCCATGCCCGCTGCAGCTATGTGGCTGCTGGATATTTGAAGAGTTGCTACCCATAATGATATTTTTGAAATGAAACTTGGTTGATAGCATGGATTAAGTATTTAGAAGTGCAGCACTTGACAATTAGCCTGTGTGCATGCAAGCTACAAACCACTGTTCCTTTTGCTTTTTATATCTTATTTTGTATTTTATTTTTGTAAGAGATATCAATTGCCAAATAAATTGGCATTAGGTTCTTAGATCTTCACTCAAAGGCATAGTGGTTGTATTGAACTTGACAAACAGTTATACATAAAATTAAAGTAACATGCTTTACAATTACTAATTTAAATTTAATGCTTGTTTTCATGAATTATAATTGTAAATTGCTTCTCTTGCTACAGACTTTCAGCCAATAGAGCAGCCACCTACTATGGTAAGTCTACTGTAAGAAGCCACCTACTATGGTAAGTCTACTGTAAGAAGTTTTGGAAATTTAACTCCTTCTTTGATGTAGGAAAAGTTCCAAATAGAAATAAAAGCATGACTTAAGATGATGCAATGAAATTGAGCAGATAGTGCCATGTATGTTCTGCAACATCTGTTCCTTTGACCATGGTTTTGTTTCAAGACCAGGTCAATTATCCTGCCAAATCTCTATGGCCTTGCTCTTTGTTCTTGTAAAGGGGCAAACTTATGAACAGTAGCCATGACACAACAAGATTTTTAAAGGGTGTAAAATCGAAATGCTTTGCATTCAATGTAACTTACAAATTTTTCAATGCAAAAAAGTATTCTTATCACTGCATTCAACAAGCCTAACTATACTGATTGTCAGTGAATAAGAAGAAAAAGACAAAAATGTAGTTCCTTTTGAGCTCTTCTCACAAAATCATTCTTTGTTTTAGTCATCACGAGGAGAGGTTTATTCCCATCGCATTCCCTTGGTTTATATCTGTGACTGGTGTTTGAGCTCAAGATCTCCACGAATATATTTCGATGGGAAATTAAGACCCTTTTATGCAACATCCCCTTTTAAGGAAACCCTTTTATTGAGAATAGTGCCCCCAAATTAATTTCAAAGATGTTCCCTTTTTCAGAGATGTCCTGTTCTCAAGTATGAAATGCCCTCAACCTTTAATCAGTAGTTTCCAAGCCTCCTGCCCTCGCCAATTCGATGTGTCTCATTCTAACAGCGTCAAGAAAAATTCTCTGGTTTTCAAAAGAATGTAAATATAAACCCTGATAGGAAATGAGCAATGACCTAGGGCAGAGCAGGTTTTTGTTTTAGCCTGGATTAGAGTTGTTCGTACACACCAAGTTTAAATACATCGTTCTTAGTGGTTTTCGGTAAAATCGCAGCTTTGCGTTCTGTGTTTGACAGAAGGGTTTCCACTCTTATGCAAAATTGTTTATTAGAATGTATAAATCCGACAACAAATCGCTTTTATAAACAACCATTCTTCTAAATAATAGTTTTGGTTTTCTGATATCATATCTTAATCTTGATAAATCTTTAAATCCAAGTTTTGAAACAAAGGCCAATTGTAGCCACACCAAAAATTTATATCCAAAGCCTGACTCAAAAGAATCATTAGTGGTGAAACTTCTGAAATTTCAGTAAAAATGGGGCAAATTCAACATTTCCAAACTGTTTTTGGCTTCCCAACATTTTTTCAGCATTATCAGAGCTTTAATGGCAATCAATCTATTCATAAGGTATTCGTAAATGGTTTGCAAGTAATCAAAATTGATGTATATAATTTTGTGATATCAACAGAGGAGCCTTGTTAAAAGCATTTGAGAGGTCGCTGTCTTTGAACTTCTTAATTATTATATTTTTAAATGATAAAAGTTGCTACCCCCTGCCTTCTATCTTATGTCGGTATAAAACAATTGCTATACAAAACTACCGAAGGCCTACTAATTGCTAAAACTAGTTTCTTTAATTGTGAAATACGAATCATTACAGAAGAATAATTTGTATTTAAGTAGAAAAATTGCAACCAAATCATGCCCTGAACCAATAAATATTGACCAAGATCAAAATCAACAAACGACGTGTAAAGGGACAGAATAAAGATCTAGTACCCCCCTTTTGGAGTCAGAAGATGCTTATTTACCAATATGGAATTACGTTATTGGCAGTTTCAAAATCACAGAATAACAGAAAAACGAAGCACCTCGTCAAAATAAAACCCCACCAAACCCCAACATTCTCCCCTTGGGTTTCAACTAAAATCGATCCGTCCGTTTAAATTTTTCCTGCTCAAATCCATCACTAAGCTGCGTTTCGCAAATTGCGTTTCTATCTCAATTTTTCTGCATTTTTAGATAAACCAATTTTCCTTTATCATACTTGATAACGCTCTATGCTCGAAACGTCGTTAATTGATAATCTATTATTTATTCCTAGTACAATTTACTGGAATTCATTATTAATTTCTTGCTTCCGTTATGCAGTTATTCTATAGTAAAAAATATGTCTAATACAGTTAAGTTCTTGTATAGTAAAAAAAAGACATTACCCAGACCCAATGGCTAACAAAAAACTACTCTAATTTTTCTTGAATTTGTATCTCGCTGGCATAGAATTCTCAGATAAATCTTCTTAATTTTTTATTCATTGCAGCATCATGATGTTAACTCCGACCAACCGTTGACATTTTGGAATCACAATTTAAACAGCATCCATGTAAGTCTAAATAAAAGCATTAACACCAGCAAAACTTGAATTTTTCTTAGCTTTTTTATAACATATTTTCTCGATCTTAAGAAAACATGTTTACATGTCTTTGCTTTTGTATAGAACAGGGCGGTTCTAAGATGCTACTCCGAGTTGCACGTTTACTGCGACTATCGGGCAACTGCCGTTAACACTATTCACATATTTGGTTTGTATTCCTCTCTAAGCAGCACCATAACCAATTCTATATGTTTTTCGGTCCACCAACTTTAACGCCCAAATTAACGCCCAACTTTACCCAGACTTTTCCCTCGCTTTTCCTCTCTCTTGTTGAATCTATGTTTCATCTTTGTTGCAATATTTCTCCTTTATTTGTCATGTTGTGACTTCTGTGTCAAAATTACTGCATTCCTCTCTAGGGTGTGTCACAAATACAAACAAATGACACTCCGTTCAAGAAAAACACGGCTTTCAGCACCCCGATCGACGAATACAAAGATGCTCCAAAACCAGGCGAAGGATGGCATTATTAAACAAAAAACTTCATTTGATATTTTATCTAGACTAATTTGTACATACTTTCTTTTTCTTAGAAAGAATATTTGGTTGTAACACTAAATCGAAAAGCATTATCTTTGTGCTAATCTCTTCTGGTTTTAACCTTCGACCAGGACCGACTTTGAAAGAGCTCAATGGGTGACCAGCAACGGCAAGATGGGGGTAGATAAGGTTAGAAAGAACCTCAGGTCTCAGGTCTCAAGAAAAATACCAACAACGTACCGAACACCTAACTTTGAAATAAATGTCAAAGTCATTACAACGAAAGTGAATATCCCTATGATACCAAAAACCCTCTAATTTCTGGAAAAAGTTTTGGTAAAGTGCAGTGTTTTTGTGTTTAAGACAGCTTAAAAACTAACAACCATCGCTCTCCAATTTTTATATTAAACCGAGCCTACACTACAATCTATCTACAGAGCCAAAAGCGCGGGAGAGTAGCTAAATCATGGCACAGCAATGAAGGGGCAAGAAGTGTATCGAAGGCGCTCATTAGTCAGGAACTACAGAAGCTACCCTGGGTACCAGACTCACTATATATGAAATTTTATATAGTGAGTCTGGTACCCAGGGTATACAGAAGCATGTTCCTTTGAAAAATTGGTATTTCAAGGCTGCTACTTCGACAACCTCTTAGGGAGTAATTGTTAGTGGGCTTATCTAGGGTGCTTCAGTTGGGTTATGAATTTTAAACCTAAGAAATACTTTTTTATGAAAGTATCAAATCTTACACGCTCTTACATAGAACCACAGAAAACACTGTTTGATTTTGCAATACTTGCAGCTTCGATTTTCCATATCAATTTTCTTTTCAATATTTTGAGACCCAGAAAATATCCCATAATTTCAAAAACCCAAACATTTATCTGAATTTGTCAAAAAAATTTATTGCATTCACAACCTAATCGTGCCAAGACCCCTCCCCCTCTCCCCCCAAGCACGATAATATGACCAATATATCCATTCTTTATCTTTACGTACCACCTTAATCCAAGAAGATCCTCCTTCACAATTATGGTTTCCATCAATGTTGTTTTTCCTCACATGGGTCACATGGGATGGCGAATGCAAGGGGCACCCTGATTGTTTTTAAAAATCCTCCAATTGTTAAAGTTTGCACTTTTACTGAATATGAACAAGAGAGTGGTAAGTACATCGAAAGAGGTGACGCCATTTGAGTAATATGTGTAATAATTATCGCCGAATTGATGGTGTTATTAACTATCCTTTAGTAGAGTCACGTTTTGCCTTTTAGATGTTTGTATACCCAGTGCCTACAAGAAATATCCCAGCCTACAATGGAAAGGAGTAAAAGTTGACCTTGACAAGGATTCAAAAGAGAATTCCAGTCATACCAAATATGAATGTTCTGTGTCGACAAATTCAACCGAATCAGCAATGATTTTGGATTATAATCCACAGAAATCGTGTAGATTATCTGATATATTCAAATCTGAAACCAGTGATAAATCAGAAATCAAAGGCGGCTACTTTGTGAATAAGCATGGAAAAAAGAGGAAATTCTTTGAACAAATATGTGACCTTGGTAGTGAGGAGAATGAAATGGAACACATTTTCCACAAAGTACTTCACAAAGACAGTAGCACCATAGCAAATAATTTTGCACAAACTCAAGAGTTCACAGAGAAAGAGACAAGCACAGAAGAACAGCAATATGAAGATGGATCATGTGATCTGTTTGATTCTTATACTGACATGTATTTAACTCAGGCAAGTCCTACATCAGCTCAGCAACATCCGAATTCAGCAAAAGAGCAGATTTTACCAGATTCTTACTATGAATACAGTGGCAGGAGTTACAATGTTGAGAAGTTGTGCAAGCAAGAGAGGACTGGAAAGTTCAATATTCTTGCACTGGTGTTGCAAGTATGTACAATATATTTGTTTATTATTTAAAGGAGTCAGGCAACTGCCAGGCAGGACCATGATATATTGCCCGCACACGCAACTTTTCCATTCGCAAACTTTTGCATATTGGCCACGCAAAGTTCCAATTTGAATACATTTTACATCATTGACAATATAAATTTTGTAAAAGTGTGTAATTCAGGTGCACAGTCGGGCAGTCATGAACATGAACTTCCCCACGCATGGAACAAAGTTTCCAGTTTGGGGCAACTGTTCTGATGATCGCATTAAGAAACTGTTAAGACTGAATTTAAAACAGCATTCTGTTAGTAAGTTTGATGCTTGCCTTGTTGCAGAAATGAAGACACACATGTCCACATGTGGATATATGTGGTGAACAGCAAGGACTGTTGAGCATATTACAGATTGAAAGGACTATACGTTTTAGGGGGCTAAAAATGCCAAAAACCAAGAGCAATTTTTGTATGGTTTTAAGTACATTTTGGAAATTATTGGGGGGGCAGAAATCCCCTCAGCCTCCCTCACTCCCCCCTTTCCTCAGCTCCTGGTGAGCTGCATCTGCAAAACATAATAAAATCAACCTTCAGCTGGGTGAATTTATTTGTTTAAATATTTCTTTTCCCTTATTTCAGTTTATTTAAGCATGAAAAGATATCTGACAAAGTCACAAGTAGCAACCACACAATAAAGCATCATCAACTTTACAAATGAAAAAAATTTGAGGAGCTCTCGTTAATCTATCTTTGAAAGGTAAACACTGAAGACGTAGTTAGATTGAAGAATGGTGAATTTGCAACATTTGCGTCACTTTTTGTTGCTGACAAAGAATCACAGTATGTCCAGCTTACTCTCTGGCATCATTTAAAAGACTGGGTCAAGAACATCGATGCTGGGTCTATTTTACTTGTAACTGATGTTGTTCAGAAGATGTGGAAAAACAAGATGTCACTTGCAACAACAGATGAATCAAAGCTGTTTAATTTTCATCAACCAAAGGAGCCATTTCCTGAATTTTGTAAGTTCTTCATTACAGTTGCTTGAAGATGTTATATGATGGAAATAAACTGACAAAATTGAACTTATTGAAATTAATCTTGGTAGTCAGAGCCAGGGCACAGTACCCAGAAGAATAGACACCCAGGTTTTTATTGTAATGACCCATGTGAAGACCGAAGATGCTTGATAATTATTTAATCAAAAATTCAAGCAAGATTAATTTCATACCCATAGATTTATTGTTGATGAGGGGTTGGGGGTAAAGTGATCAGGGGGTGAGAGGGGCATACTGCATGAAGTATCCTGCTTTTAGAATCTGGAGAACATGCCCCATCTATCAAATCAGTAGGGTTTAATGTAAGTTGAAAGGTTGCGAATTTCATTTAATTTTAAGTAAAATGAGATTGCAGGTATGAGGCTGCAAAATTATCGGACAGATTTTTCTATCCCTTAAAAACATTAATTGTATGTTTCTCTTTGGTGGGGGAGGGACTATCTTTTACAATTGGAAGTCAAAAATCAAATTTTTGACAGCTCATTTGGATTTCCTGTTCTTTAAAACATCTTTTGATTCCAGGGGAAAATGTAATAAAAAGAAATGTTTTGAGGGATTTTTTGTGCTGTATGAAGAAAACCTACAAAGCACTGTGCCGGGAAGATAGCACCATTTATGGCCAGTCACTGAAAACAGCACAAGATATTGAATCATTTGATTCTTTGATGCCTGGCACAATTGTTAATTTTAAAGGCAGTGTCATAAGCATGGATGTTTGTTCTGATCAGTCAAAGAAAAGAGCTTCAAAACAACTGCAAAAACCACTTATACTTCTCTGTAAGTATCTGGCATATTAAATGTCTGTTCAACATTTGCCTTCATCAGTTGTAATGAAAAAAACTAAAGTTTCAATCGGGTAGAAAATTTGGTCTCCTTTGCACCTGGGATGACCCGTTTTTGTCTAAGGGAGACTGCTTATCGTTAGACATTCCAGTGTAGAGACATTCACTCCTGTCACCAGTGTTCCTTTTGGGAGACCACAGGCCACCACAAGCCAATATGCAGGAGACCACTGAAAGAGCTGCTGGTGTCCCAACGTGGGACCACCTTTTTGCTGGAATTTTTCACCCCTGAGTTGCACTATGTCTCTGTAACCAAGAAAGAATATGACTGCCAGGAGGCTTCAACTATCGGTTGTGATATGCTAGTACCCAAAGGCCTTTTTCCAGATTAAGCCCCCTAGTTATAAGACAGATATATCATGAAGTTTCGGGCCCTGCACTCGTTTATCACATCAAAATACCAGCATTTTTGCAGGGGCTCCTACAGCACGGGGGGCCCTTATTTCTTGAACTAATAGATAGCAACCCAGGGGTGGACAGGACAGGGCAGTGGCATGCTCCGACAGGACATGAATGGGGAATTAAAGCGTCCCTTCCCTCCACTAGCTTACAGGTCCAGACTGACTCGACTGGTACCACCTGGCAGGGTTCCCTAGCTCAGGGCTACGAGGGCTGACCAACAGCTAACTCGGCGGAAGATCGGCAAAGAGGGCGGATGAGCTACGACTCCAGGGGTTAACAGCTTCGAGCGGAAGAACTCCTGGAAAGAGGGAAGGTGTCCCTTTAAAAACACTGTAGAGGTGGTTCTGGGGGCCCATCTCTACTATAAGCCCCTTAATTTTATCTATGACCATGACAACAAACCAAAACTCAGATTTTGGGGTAGTTGGAGGGTCATGGTAGCCAACCTTCTGATAGAAGATGGTACCTGATGATGAATAGACAGCTGTGCAGCAAGACAAATTCATTTCCCGTTGACAAGAGTTGGTAGGTTAGTGCTGACAGTTCCACCACAAGTATTTTCTGCCTCTACATTTTCCTTATTTGGCAGGCTGTATAAGTACAGTAGACAAAATACCCCCAAATAATATTCCTAGCAGAGGTTTTAACTCTCGCTACCTTATGGTATAGTGGAATAATGATGAAAGTCTTTATATCTATGTGTCTTTTCATCTACAAATAAAAAGTAATTTGTTGCTTCACTCAGTTTGAGCCACTCTAATTTGGTTTAAACCGTCAACACCACATTAATATTGAAATATTTTGTAATGATCCACAAATTAACAGACAACAGCCAAAGGCAAAGTGTCTTTATTAAAATAAGTTTTTACCAAAGATGTACAATAGTCTTTTTCATAATAAGGTCTTGTTCATTATTTTAGGAATTTTCAATTCTATTCTTGCTGATCCTTTTCTGAAAACTTATCTGAAAAGAACTTCAAATTTCCCCCAAAAATTATTTTCGATCCAATATAGAAGGCACCACAGCCCTCACCCATCCATCCAAACAAAGTTTGCGAAGCTCCATCTATATATTAACTTCTTCCTTGCATGTTTTCTCCAGGCTGCACTCCATCCATCCATCATTTCTTTTACTTCTCATCTAAATAAGTCCTTTTGAAATCTCTTGAAAAATCCATCTTACATTATTGGTTTTGTTGATATCACCACTCACCCGAATAATCCTGTGACACAAGCCTTTTTTTGCGTGGAATTTAATTTGACAGCCAGACATTAGCTCAAAACGATCAGTAATAAAACCATACCAACAGTTGAGTAAACAAGGTTCGTCGAATAAGCCACAGTTAATTCATACATCTTCTATCCAATTGCCTTCGCTTCAAAATAAAAGTGCGAACAGCGGTTTTAAATTAACAATAATAAAACTTCAGGATTAGTTGACATCCACAAATTGATTCTTATCGAAAAATTCGCTTCTGTTTTTGGCCATTTTAGCCTTTTATCCTACCACCCATACTTCATTACTTAGAAATAAGTTCTCCAAAATATACCATTGTTTAAACAAAAAATATAGGTCAAACTTCATGAATTTTTCCAGATAAAAACCTATTAGATCAATGAAAAGGATTAAAGGCTGGTTATCTGGCGATGGTGAAAATATTTGATAATAAAATACATTCAATGTAACTGTGCCCAAATAAAGGCCACACTTAAGTTTTTGGCCTACTAAAACCTAGCTCGGTTTGAAACTTTAGTCACCGTCGCATTTTCTTTAATTAACCAGATTAGTCTGAAAATACCTTATTACATTTAAGATATAGGCGTTTTTTGTGAAAGGGATGTTTAGCAGAAGCACACGTTTGTCGTGAAATAGAAAAATTCAACCGGCCGTAGTATTTAAGGAGATTTTAAACAGCTGAACCAGTTGGTCTTGCGCGTGATATACCATTGGTTTACTCGTTAAAAGATTTAATACTTATAGGTTGTATTTTCAGAATTTCGTTAGGCCCAACTTAAAAAACTTTTTAGATGTTTGTGCTAAAGCCAGAGATAAACGAACGTTTTTAAACATACAAAGGTAAACTACTAAAGGTATTCTTTGCTCTTAAAAGTTACAGGAAAATGCTTAGCGTTCCTGTGTAGTGCTCTAAATCCAAAGAAAATTATTGCGACAATTTTTCATGAAGAGATGACGAAAACTGTGGCACTTTGGGTTGAATTATGAGCTAGATAAAAGACCTCGCTCTGTTTCCTAATTGCCACATGAAACTGGAGAATGAGCCTGGCAGTTTTACTATATACACTTTTTCTTTTTTTGTAATTAGGAAACATCCAGAGTGAGACATTTTTAAAGATTCAAACCTAAATTCCCACTTTTCTTTTCAGAGCAGCTCTGTTTTTACCGAATAATTGGAATTATTCATTTGAACAATTTTTTGTCGGTACAAAATTTGAAAATGGCTTTGAAAAAAGATAAGGTTTTAGAACATGCAAAAGCTTTTTCGTTTTATTTCTGGCAATGATTTACAGAATATGTTTTTAAGGTAGGCAGAATAAACGAAGACTCTGTGCCAATGATAATACAATTTGGACGCCTATGATGTATTTTGTGACATTAATGCGACATAGAGTTCTTTCATGTGGGAGAAATCTATCGTGTTCCAAAAAATTCGATCAGGAATTTTAGCAGCCTGCGTGCAGACTCTGAAATTTGTCAACAGCAAACATTAATCCGTAACGGGAACATTAATTTAAATGCAGACAAAAGGTTGAAATAACTATGGTTTGTTTCGGGATTTGTGTTCCGGGATATGAGTAATAAAATACACATGATACCGGCTGCAATTTGACGGGCTATGCTGACAAGTTTTCAAACATAACTGGCTTCATTTCAATCCTTTGCATTTTCTGACATTGATCTTTGGTTAGGAAAGAAAATTCTTTTCCGCCTTATACATCGAAATGTTAAACATAATGAAATTACTGTTTTCCACTAAAGGACGGCCGAAGTTTGTATTAAATGAAAATCGAATGTCAATTTAGTGTGAGCTGCAAGTCTTAGATTAGTTCACAATTTGTCAAAGGTCGTGACAAGTAGGTGAATATAATAGAATGAAGTCGTTAAATTTGACATTCCCAACATGGTACATTGAAAAACAAGCGAAAAGTATTGCCCGGATAATAAGACCAACTATCCATTGGAAAAGAAAGCATTGCATGACAGTGATGAAACCAATGGAGGTGAATGGGTTCACCACACCTGGCTGATAATTCTACCAATTTTGTCATAAAATTATTTTGTGCCAGAAAAGCTCAACGCATCACAATACACCCTCAATTCCCTTTCACTGATAGTTACAGTTATTTATATTATTGTATCAAAGTGAGTTATTCACCAACATTCGAACCCCCTCCAAAAAACTTATGGCTCTCTAAGACCTTTTTAATGCCCACTCCGATTGGAAATTATGTTATTTAACTTTATTTGCACTGCTTAACACCATTATTAAGATCATTGTTTAACATTTATTTTTCTCTACACTGGAATTTTCATTGTCTTTTCTGAAATGATGTTCAAAATATTGTTTGTCTTGGTCCTTATATTGAAATTTATATAAACTTATAAGAAATAATGTAATGAAATTAATCTCAAGACAAGTTGAAGAGAAAAGCAGCCCCCAGACACGTGTTTGCGTGCACGAAATTGATCACAGTTGTTTTATACTAAATTTTAAAGAAATAGGTTTGTTTAATACTTGATTTTGTCTTAAGGTTTACGGGATGTTCATGGGAACAAAGCACGGATGTCTATCTGGGGCAATCGAACAATGTTGTTATCAGAACTGCGTAAAAATCAGGGAAACTGGATGAATTTCTCTTTCGTGGCTGTCAGATCGACGTTGTCCGGAGACAGTCTTGAGCTGCACTCAACATCAACCACCAAGATCGGTTTTGTTCCAGGGCATGATAAGCTAATGGCATCAAAAGATGCCTGGTCACAAGATAAGACGCCTTCGATTGGGACATTAGAAAGTATTGACGGTCGAGTTACTTGTTTGGAAATAACAGACAAGCAGGGACGCTGTGGTAGAGTATCGTTGGGAACTTTCCAAAGGCCACCAACGGAGGATTCTTTTGATGCAAAGACTGAGGCGGATAATATTCTTGAGAGTTTGGCCAACATGAAATACATTGGATGCAGACAATGTCTTTGTGAACTGGAACAATCGAGAGACGGTACCACACAGCCTTGTAAACGATGCTTGTCTGTGTCTTGGAAATATGACTTTTCAACAGTAGAGACAGTACGTCCTTTCCGATTGTTTGTCGAGACAAAGTGCGATAGAAACGTCCCAGTTACTGTTTTTCCTGATGTTTTCAATAGGCTTAAAAGCTCAGATCTTATCACAAATGTATTTCACCTCAGCGAAATAGCAAAACATGGGTGGGAAAATAGATCTGAACTAATTATCTACTGTGAGAAAATATTCGATGAATAAGAAAGAGTTTTCATGGTTTTGCAAGGAAACAGTGGCGAAAGTGACACAGTTGTAAGCGAGCAACTTTACTTTTTGAAAGATATAGGAGAACAATCAGTAAAAGAAAAATCTTAGATATAAGATTAATTAGTGTTTCTGTAGCAGTAAATCCTGCCAAAGGAATGCATCAAAATTTGCTTAAAATTCCGTTTGCAATACAACTTTGCTTGTGTTCGAATATGAAGAGGTTATCAAAACAATCAACGAAAGGCTTTTATCAAGGAATTAAGATTTTCCAAATTGATTCATAGACACGTTCAAAAACAACCAATTAAGTACAGTCCTTTGCTAAACCGGATAAGTACAGCTTGGAAGTAGTCTGATAGCATCTCTATTAATGGTTATTGTTTTCTTATTTGGATTGGAATGCATGGGCCCTCAGGGACAAATTTGTGAGAGCTACAAATGCTGTTGGAATTGGCTTAAATGAACGACAACTGACATTGATTACCTGCACGTTGTGTTTATACTCTGATCTGTTCTTTAGGAATGTGTTAAACAGGAAAAATAAAATGAGTGTTTATCAAAAACAACAGTGTTTCGAGACTCGTATAGAAAAGGCAGCATTAGACATGCAAAGTCCTTGGCTAAATATCCAGGACGCAAACTTTTTGGGCTAGATATTAAAATTGCAATGATAGGACTGGGGGAGCATGCTTTATGACATCAATGTAGTCAAGAACATCTTCCAAATTTGTTCCTCAGTTTAAAAGAAATATAGTATGGATGCTGCAAAAAGGCAGTTTGACAAGCATTTTTGTGTTGACAGCAGATATACACTGCTCAGGAAAACACTTGTTGCACTTGCTAAAAGCATCTTATCACTTAACTGATGTTACAATTACAGGATCAGGCAGTTTCATGACAGGTTGTTTTGACTTTGGGTTAATTTGCAAGTTCCCAACTATAGTTCTATTGCTACTGCTTGGCGGCTTTTAACACCAAAAATGGATCGCACCCATTTGTGTTGATTCATAGTAAAGAATTCAATTTACAGAAAGACATGCTACTTGATATTAAAAAACAAACTGAATATACACACTTACACTAAGATTGAGTTCCACTACATGATTGCAGCTAATAATCCATCTTCAACTCTTCTTTTTGCCAGTTCTGCAATCGACTAGAGATGAAAGAAAGTTGTAAGCAAAGATGTGCCAGTGAATACCCTTAATACCATTATACACTTGTAACAGTCACTTGGGCGAATTTTCTGGGGGTTCATATGCAGTAGTGCGAAGTAGGGTTGGGATATTTAATTTGGGGATAACGTTTTTAGTTTTAATAAAAGCAGGGTAACATTCAGTTTGAGTATTTCAAACACACCCTCTGATATTTTCCACAGACAATATTTGAAACCTCAAATATATGTAGATTGATGTATTTTTTATCGAATTTTTACTAGAGACTGTCATGAAACTGGAAAGGCTCTTTGGCGCTCATACGATGCAATGATTTGACTTTTTGCATAATTTCCAAGAAGTCAACTTCTATATTCTTAACTCATGTTTATACGCACCACAAAAGAAATAGAGAACCTGAAACCTAAGGGATAGGGGAATAACTTTCATTTAATGAAGAACATAATCTGAAAATGATAAGAACCTAGATTACAATTTGCTCATAAATGTTTTGAAGCTTCCTTTAATACTTCTGTCCCACACGTAGTTAGACTACACAACAGCAAAAGTCTCAAATAAGGGAACCACTTTCAAAAGACATTGTTTATCTCACATGGTAGGTATGTATGCTGCATTCATAAAACTACCAAATAAATTACAAAATAATAACAAGCAAAATCTTATTTAATGATTGGGAAACCGGATTAAGTATCTATTCAAAATCAGCAAGCATTGATAAAAGTGACATTAGAAGGCTGAAATTCAAATTTCCCTAAAAATCTTGATGTAAATCTACATTAACGTAAATCATCTCTCATTCTTCACTGCATTTGTTATAAGTATTATTTAATCAAAACCAATTAAGCATCAATATGAATGTGATTACTTTTTGGGCTCCATCTTTAGAAATATTCTTAAAAACAAAAATTAAAATACTTACTTGAAAACTTCTTGGCTCGTGAATGGATAATTCTGAGAGTACCTTCCGGTTAAGAAGAATATCTTCCTAGAAGCCAAAAAGCCATATTCTAGTCTCTATAAGAGCTAACCATTTCATCAAGCGGTGGAAGAATTACAGTTAAGGCTGATTCATTCTTCAGAAATGAATACTTTATGCAAAAATGAGCAGAAAATCTTTTCTTTATGTGGAGAATACTTTAGAAGCGAAGATACAAATCAAAGGATCCATGGTTCCAATCTCTGGCGTGATCAAACCTTCACCATGAGTGAGTCATCAGCCCACAGTCTTTCGTCGGAAAGGCGTGTGATCGCATGCACACGCCCTGGCGCACGCCTACTGCTTTCGAGGAGTGCAAAATATCACACGCCTTCTTTTATTCTGGGAGCAAAATTCTCTATCAATGATTGGTTTTGTTGGTTTGTGAGACGGGTTTAAATGTAAATCTTTCCTTGGTACAATTACTCAATGCCACTTCAAAAAAGGCTTAACACCTTGTCAGGATTACGGATTAAATATAAAAAATTTAATAATCATAGGACTAATCTACAGTGGAATCCCGATAATATGAAACCCGGCTATAACTAATTTTTTAGTATAACAAAAATATGTCTGGCCCTATGGATTCTGCCAAACCCCATACAAATTCCCTCGGAATAACAAATCCCGTATTGATCTAAGGGATTTGTTGATCCTAAATGTAGGTCTTTAATGATTTTCCTCAATATGACGAAAATTTTTACCGTTATTTGAACTACTTATTCCCGGTGTATATTTGTCACTATTTCTGGGGGAGGGGGGGAATCATTATTGTCAGCGGCAAAACATACATTGGCAAACATGCACTTTTTATGATGCAAAAAATGGAGAAGAGATTTGTGCAAACGTTTCCACCTTTTCAACGCTTTATGGCATTTCAGTGAATAAATCCAAACACAGAAGACAATAACAGACATTTTTGTCTCCGAATTTTAAAAGGAACATTAAATGTTGTGAATAAGATTTTCATTTTCGATCGTTAATTTAGCGAAAGTAGCAGCTTTGCCAATTATGCGATGAAAAGTAGCAGATTTGCGGATTTTGCTACCCATATACAGCCCCCTCTTCAGACTTCACTTTGCTTTAAATCTAGATTTTGGAGACATTTAATTTAATAAAAAATTGGCCATCATTATCCTTTATGCGTTATTATTATGGGTTATTGACATTTGGCCAGTGAGGTGCATAAAGTAGCTTTGAGGCTTGCGGCTCGGATTACACACAAAAACAGTCATTACATCCAGATGAACGCAAAGCCCCCAATGAATCTTTTATCGAAGCTGATAAAAACTGCTTATGACATGGAAAACATTTTGCTGTATCTGTAGTGGCGCTTTTTGGCTGATATATTAAATAATTTCAGTTAATACTTGCGTAAAAACTTGCTCAAGTCTTGCTCACGAAAAACACGTTTTTTTTAAAATGTAAGTAGTGGTGCTAAGATTTCAGCGAAGTAATCTTCATCAAAATTATTAGTGTCATCATTATCGTGTTTTGCAAAAAAATTTCACACGCCACCACACACACGCCTGGATTTCTTAAGGCGTGCGGTGGTTAGCACGCCTGCTATATGAAGCCTGAGCTCTCTTTATTTTCAGGGGTAGGAATCGTGAGGTGTGCTCAAATTGAGAGAAAGGAACGGGGCACTGCTCGATAAGTGCAGCTTCTCTCAGTGTCCTGAAAACTACAATCGTGGCCAAAACTCCTCGAAACTGAATTAAAAATTCGGCATGCTATCAATTGTTCCCAAGAAAAATTAGGACATATCAATGTCTCCCCTCCCCCCTATAATATGAATAAGAACCCAATTGCATTTCGGAAGCAGTCTCACGAGTTTTGGCCAGGATTGTAGGTAGCAAATACAAATAGGAAACTTTGGTTGGTAAACTTTGGATAAAGGATGTTCTTCCTAAGCGACTGAGCCAAAATTTATTGCTTTAGCGTGGTGTGTCTATACCTAAAATTGGAGGCAGAGAGCTGCTAACACGCCTTCAAATAAAAACTGCCTTTCCCTTTGGACACTGCTTGGACAGGCTCAAGAAGATGCTGGAACTATTTAATGCAGAGGCCACCATTCACATATGAGCAGTTCACATTAGCATAAAATTTGGATATTTTTATATGAGAAATGTTCTCTTCTGAAGGTTTAGAACAAGAGACAAACATTATTCAATGACTAGGATGCAATTGACATACCCTTGCCATGACTGCTGCAAAGTATGAGTAGCCTATGTTGTGCTCCCTTGCTGCTATGTTTATTCTAGTGATCCATAACTGAAACGAAAGCATTACACATAATCAAAAAATATATAGTATTATACATATATAGTTGCCAAAAAGAATTAAATGCAGAGTATGCATAGAACTTTTATAAATTTGAAGCTTTGTTATCAGTCTTTCAATTTGTAGCAATTATTGCAAAGTGTCAATGTGTAAGAAATCATATAATCAGATATGAATATACACAAAAAGTCTATCCTCTTCTGAACTTTCCCATTTGCCTTTTCAAAGTAGGCTTACAAACAACTCATCATGCATACCCTTTTTACCGTGCCTTTCAGGTCTTGTGATAATGATTAAAAATGTTTTAGAACAAAATATATTATCTTTGAATTTTTATAAAGGATCACCTCACCTTTCTCATGTCTCTTTTCTTCAATCTTCTGCTCACATACTGGTATTGCAACTTTTTATGCACAGCCCGTACAGCAATGCTATAACAGTTTTTTCTTTTCCCAAAGAACCCCTGGAAGTATTAAAGAAACAATCCAGTTATTGAAGCATTTGGATAAAAACTGGGTTTAAAAAAACCACTTTCTTGTTTTCATGTGTGAAAGAATAATTGGTGTTAACAATATTTTTAGTGAACATTTTATGCAAACATCAAATATAATCCTATATAAAGCGTCTCATAAAGAAAAAAAAGCTCTCAATATATCTTATCAATACTGTTACATAACATCCATGTCTCTTGTATTTTGAACTATTTGCAAGTGTATTTGCCATCAAAACTCACTGTTTATCTGTGTAAGAGCAAGGTTATAAAGAATTAAGAAAACTGCTGCTGATAATCTCACTTTTTTTGGAGAATATGCTAAACCTTTTGGTCGCAAGTTTTTGAAACTGCAGTGGGCTAAATTACAGCGACTGCTTCGTGATATGTTGGAACAGAATTCAATCAATAAAATGTGCCACAATCATCAAGTCCATCTTTTCCAACAATTACAATGTTGTTAGGAGAACAAATAATGCTAAAATGGCTTAGAAGAAGAGTTCACCTTCTCATTGAATGAAAAGACAAAAAATCCTGGCCATAAACACTCAAGTACCTCAATAGCTATGAAAGAATTAGCATAATAAAAAATTGGCTTTCAAAGCTGCGAGACTGTCCTATAAAAAGTTGACATTCTTGAAAAGCAACATTTGGAGTTCGGTTTGATTGGTTTTTAACAATAAAAGGGTGCCTAATGGCTTCATAACAGAAGTTTTATTCTCAATCTCTGAAGCGAGCTCTTTTGTACCTGGAAGGTGAATGAAAAGCTGCCTCCAACCATATCCGTATTTCTCACATTCAATGATCAAATTATCTTTAGCTTTATCTGGACGAAATACAAGTACCCAGAAATTAACATTTCACCCACTTTTGGACAGGGGTTGAACGATGAAGTCATTGGTTAATTGTGCCATTAATGTGCCTAGAAAGTCCAGCTCTGAAGGCACTCCTGGAACTCATCAAGTGTAGTTGTAAGCGTAAATGCGAGAAAAGACAATCAAGTTGTGTGCAAAACAATCTTAATTGCACACCAGCATTTTGTGTGGAGAATTTCATAATCAAGATAAAAACACTGATGATGGAATTTGTGATGAAAGCTATTCAGATGAGACTGATGACAAAAGTTTTAAGTTTGACTATCAAATTTACTGAAGCAAATTTTCATAAATTTAAAATTCTCCAAGTTTGTAATTTTTCCTGCCAATCTTTTTCTCAGTTTACAAATGTTTCATGCAGCAGTGGCGGATCAAGACTACCGCCATTACCGCTCGAGCGGTAGTCAGATTATTAAAAAAATTATAGAAACAAGGATGTTTATCCTACTACTTTAATTAAACCATAGTTAAAAATTGAAAATTTTTTGATGGCGTTGCAAACCAAGCATTTCAATTCTAGAAACATGCCTGAAATTTCCACAGAGACAGAAATACTTTTTAATCCTTATCGCTATTTAAATTGCGGCCAATTGGCCGAGCCACATGTTTGCAAATAAAAGGCTAGCATTCATGGTGAAATAATGGCTTGCTAGCTAGGGGGGTTGAGTTGGTGTAGAGCGGATTCGAGCTGCACTGAGCGGTAGTCAGCCTGCCTAAACCAATCAAATCAAAAGAAATCACAGCCAACCTGGGGGATGCATACAAATTTTGTTGACAACCAATGAACAACCGAATTGACTACCGCTCAGATAGGGGATTGAGTAGTACTGCCGCTCAACACGACTCAAACGTTACAGAAAGATGGGGGGATGCCTACATATTCTGCAAGTGGGCAAACTGTAACTTCAAAGCCGATGTTACCCATTATTTTGTACAATACACAACTATTCGTAGGAATATATTTCATAAGAATATTAAGACTCGAATATTCTAAAATTTAAGAAGGCATCAGGATTAAAAGTCAGGCCCACAATGTTCACCAAAAGTATGATTCTTTGTTTAACAAAAGTTGCTCTCAACAATTGCAAATTTTATCTGGCTTTTTAAACTTATAATTACCAACAGGTCTGATTTTCATAAGTAATTGTGCGACTAAATGCGAGTTTTAGGCGACACTTCAAAATTCTGCCAAATGTATCTTTTTTTCTAATTCTATGGTGTTCCTCAGCTAAATGCCGTAAATTTTTTCAGAATATCCATCCATAGTGAATAAGATTATTTATTTCTTCTCAAACTTGTTGTAAGGATACATAATTTCAGTAAAGCACCACTTGTCTCTTGAAAATAATCTACATAAGAAATTATAGAAAGCAATAATCATTTTAGAAAACCGGGTGTGACCAGGAAATGGGTGTGGTCTAAAGGGTGTGGTCGACCCTCTATCTCATTTCGGCGGTAGTCAGATTTTTGGCTGGATCCGCCACTGGGCAGAACCCAATCATACAGACATAGGGGACAGTACTATTTAATGTTCTAGAAAATTATTTTAAATCATTTGTAAAATTCTTAAATCATGTGTATCATTTCAGACCTTCCTGGGAAAAAATTAGCCCAAGTGTGGAATTTCGCACCCCTAGACTGTCTTAAGCAAGTGGTGGAGTGCTATTGGTGTTTTTTCCTATTTCTACAAAGGTTAAATTACATAGTTCAATCGGGTCTCATCAAAAAGAATATGAAAACAGTTTTGAAAACAGCACAATTTGGAAATGGCAGGATTTTAAAATGGCAAAATCTGCCATTTCCCAAATTTTCCCATTTTCATATGAAAGTGAAACAACATTGAAAAGTTTGTGGAAGAATGGGACATCCTCGTCAGAAAAATATGCCATATTGCGTAAGCCTGTGTGGGGATGGTTGGTTAGTGTTGCATTGTGCTGTGCTTATTCTTAACCCAGCTGGCAGTGAGAACTGGATACTGAAATCACTGGTATAAAACCAATAGCGTACAGAAAGCAAGCTTTCCAGCATGGTTTTATACCAGTATGCCAGGGCGAAATATTAGTATTTCTTAAATTTAATTTATTTTGAAATTTTATCTCGGTTCATTGGATTCACATCATTGTATCTGCTTTGTTCCTGAATATCTTTTGTATTATTACTCATTGCAAGATTCACAGAATCCGGCGGACAGCCTATCCTGCGGTTCTTCCTTCTTACACATTTCCAGCATGGTCCTTCATCAAGGCTTTCACATAAAAACTGCAGCTCCTTAGAATGATGTATGCCTGATGATCTGATTACAATACTTTGCAAACAATTTGCACCAAATCTTTGTTACATATTGCTTATTGTTGTGGGCTTAAATAGTATAGCCTGAAATATCATTGTTGCCCCATTTCAGGAATATGGGGAGCTCCTTTGTGACCCATTTACTTTTTTGCTGAAGAAAACAAATTTATGAGTGCAGATCAGAACAAATCTTGTCTAAACTGGAAGCCTTTTGTTTGAAAATTCAACTTAGAGAATGTGCTCAATTACAGCTATTCACGATTACTTTGACAAAACCTTTATATTCACCTTTAATCTTTATTCTAAATAAATTTTGTTTCTTCACTAGCATACCATCTATCGTATAGAATAACTATGCACAGATTAATGCATAAAGTAACATCAGCTAAGTGAACAGAATATAACAGTTTAAGAGGGGGAAGGGGTGGTTCAACCGGACTCTGTTCAAAATTGTGCACAAAATTTGGGAAATTAATTTACCGATCTAAATTAACGTGAAAAATTGTTAAACTTGCTTGCCACTTTGTCAGCCCATAAAGAAAACAAACACGTGAAACTGTATATACCGTACAAAACAAACATGTGAAACTGTCTATACCAAATATAATATAGGTACATAAATTTGTATATAACCGGGGCCAAGTTATTTTGCACGCGTGGAGACAAACTTAAAGAAACGCTCAAGATGGATGCCTACCTTTGCAAGTTCAAATATTCTTGCCTTCCTGAGGGCTCTGTTGGGCCGTCCACCTCTCATAGTTGAATTTAAAGTGACAAAAAAATGCTTCTAGAATGCGAATGCCTAGGCCGCTTCACATGTTCACTTCAAGAGTAAAGTTGTTGTTGCTACAACGATCTTAAAAAGAGGCTACATGACGTCATCACCTGATTTTTCTCCGTCATAGAGTTCTTAACACTATGGTTGTCGCTATACACATTGGTAAAGAGTGAGGTACCAAAGAGGTTGGCTTAATCGCTTAGAAACTTAAAGAAAATTTAAAGAAAGAAATGGTTACGTACCTACAAGATAGCGCTGTGTGTATTGGCCTCGTACGCAAAATCTGTTAGTACCCCTAGGATTTTTCCCAAACATTTGATAGTTGTTCCCGATAAAAGGCTTAATTCAAAGTTTTAGATTGTCATTAAGACGGCGAAAATTTCTATCTACACTGCTGAAATAGGGCAAAAACTTTCTCTAAACCCACAATCAAGGTATTTTATGGGAATGGCTTTAAAACGACTGGCGGCGGCTCGACGAAACAATTAAGCAAACTGAGATTTCAATAAAAGCACGACAATTGTCCACAGTCACCCAGCTTAGAAGATAATCTAGCGAGTGTACCAGCCAAAGAAGATAACTGTAAAACATTGAGACATTGAGAGGATATACAACACGGAGATTCACGTGATCCTAATGAAGTACTCGGCTAATATTTCTTTATACTGCAGTTTAAAGATTAGGCATTGTAGGCTATACTTTGGTTGAATATAACGTAGACAAATTATATCTTAGCGTTTCTTATCTTACACCATAAGATCAATCTGAAATAGAATAGAGATACACAGATGATATACTGAGGTGGGCCATTTTGTGGCTCTGCAGAATATCTTATAAAGGCAGATACAGGCCTTGCGATACGAATCTCTATGATTTTCATGAACCAATCACGTTTTAATCTGCGTAATTGAGGTTGACATTTATCTGTTTAAACGCATGATTATATTTAGAAAAGGGAGATAAGCAACAAAGGGGCGGATGATGGTAGATGTTCTTTAGTGGAATAGCGCCAGTAATTATATACAGAGGCTGTTTAAGTAACAGAATGCCTTATCCTTGAAATCGTAGTACAATGCAAACTAGGCAAAGATATTTGTTCCTCGTTAACTTTCATATGAGGATAAGGCTAGTGGGCTTGTTTTTATGAAAAGGGAACAAAGGTCTGGTACATTGTCACTCGTGCCAGCAGGACATATAGAACCTAGGTGATCTGTTACAAACGTCTTTTTTATTTCAAAATGAGTATGAAAAAGCAGTATGTCTCAGGTATGGAAAATATAGCACAGATCCTGAAATTACCAGATTACTAATAAAATGAAGGTAACTGAATAAAATATAATAAATTACTAACAGGAGCAAAATATGAATCTGGAACTATTACAAGGAGAGGTAACCACATACAAGGAGGACTGTGACAACATAAAAATGTTTCATAGAATTTTCAAAGCATTTGGCTACAATTTGAAACCATTGAAAGGTGTGCTCTCTCCTCGATTAGCCCAATTACGGAGAGAGCTTTTCACGAAGAATCTAAATTTGTGTTTCTGTTTAATCTGTATGAATGAATGATTCATGTTGAGGGCAATATTTTGATTTGACGCTTGCAGTGATTTAGATTCTTGTAAGCTGTTCAATGTTTTCTGTGTTTGTATGAGGTGGAATTTAAAATAAATGAGCTGAACTTAACTAAAACAAGCTAACAAGGAGAATAAACAAAGTGTAGAGTGAGCTTCACTAGCTAAGAAAGAAATTCAAGTTTAAATGACAAAACAATTTTGAAGTATAGACTACGATGATCAGCCGATGAAACCTCTCGTTTGCAGTCGACAAAGGGACTCCAACGAAGGAGGAGGGTCTGGGGGAGGCAATGCCCTCCCTACTATCTTAGAAAACTTCAAAATCTTTTGAAATGGGTAATAAATTTTCCCTTGCCCCTTCCATTTTCTAGCCTGTGTCGGAGCTCATGTGATAGCCTCATCTGCTAACGATTGTCATTGCTATCAATGCACTTTTAAAATGAGGGTGAAAGCTGAAAATGGTTTTTGAAATGTTACAACATTAAACTTCAAGGACTCTTTGCAGACAGGTAGATCAGCTTTCTAAATCAAACAGAATGCAAACCACACGGATAATTTTTTTAAACATTGTGATAATTTGAGATAAGAATTGAACCTTGCGCAAAACCTTCTTATCTATCATAATCTTCAAAACCAGATATTCCTTTGAATTTCTAGTTGGTAAGCTATACACAGTACGATTAAGCATTGCAAATGCAATTACAGATCACCTCGAATGCAAAGTGAGTTAATAAAGCATGATAATTGCGACCAAAAACTTCAATGACTTGCCAAAAAGATTACTTTTAATCGGTTTCACAGTATAAATTATTTACAAAAGAGATAATGATTTAAATTCATCAAAAGATAACATCTTGAGCATATACGAGAAAATTACCAGGTTGGTGGATGATTTACAAAGCAACTAAAATAACTGTGTTTGTATCTTTGTTGAAAGTTCATTTAAAGTAATCTAAAAAAAAGTAAAAATAAAATATGACTTTTGTGCGTCAGTGAATGGACGAGCTGCTGCTTATAGGAAATTGAGATTTTTTATGATAATTAATGATAGCAAAAAAAACCTGAAGGTAAAGAAAAAGGATTTTTAAAGATGAATATACTTTATATAGTTTCAGAGATGAATCATTTTCCTTCATTTTCTTTGAAAGGATCATATTTTGTTAGTTGCAAGGTTTATAAATATGAATTCTTTTCAATTTTATTCTTTTTTCGTGAATTTACGCCATTTAAATTACAATGCATGCAACAGTCTAGATGTGATCCCCAGCAAGTTTCAGCTTTTCAGTTTGCCAACTACAAGACTACGGTCTATCAGATGAAAAGGTCGATGAAGCTACCATAATTATTAGACTGATTCAAGATCTAACTTCCAATTCTATTTCATAATTTTTTTTTTTTTTTTCACTAAATCAACTATAAAGATTTCAATTCCAAGCTAGGCCAAGAATTTTTTTCTGGAAATGACACTTTGATGAAGCCATCGAAAATTTATGATAAACCTTTTACAATCAGCAAAGCGCGTAGTTGATGGAGTTTTTGTGAGTTTTGAGATCTCACACTTATAAGACAGCAACAATATAATTATTGAACACAACAAAACTCAATGGCGTTTTAACTACTTATTGTAAATTAAACTAGTACCCAGTCCCTGATGTCTCTCATTTTATGCTCCTGCACAGTAACACATCATAACAAAAATGGTGGTTAAAAAAGTGTGAGCAATGCTGCGGTCAGAGTTGCAACTTTTTGAGGTTGAATCTTTCAGCTTCCATGGCTAATCTTTATCATGGTCCTATTGAAGATCGAACGATACATTCATTATCCATGGCTTTCTTCTGCCAAGACTATAAAACATCCCCGAAAAATTTCAATAACGCATTTTTCTGAAAATTGTTTCGAATTGGGAAGGAAAAGGCGGAAAAACGTTGTCAGTATATCAAAGAAATGAATGCCCATTCAAGAGATAATATTAATAGAATTATTCACAGGTTATAACCCAATAGGATTAAGATCAAAATGTGTACTACCCGTAACTATAGCAAAACCTTTAATTAAACAATTTTCTCAACATCATAAACCAAACGTTTATCAATTGGGTTAAGTTGTGCCAGGTCCACCAAGAGGAAAAGGCAAGGGGACAAATTTCCTCCGAAACCTCTCGGCGGCCCTGAGTCATGTTATTGAAACAGAAATCTAGTTACTTATTTTCGCAAACCGTTTCTTTCTTGAATAGCTTTTTGAAATAACATATAAGTTTAGTCGTTGGTATTTTTCTGTTTATTTAAAAGTTATGATTCCTTAGTCCTTGGAACGAAATTTTTGGCTTCAAGTTCATTCTCATCCTTGAAAGCAAAATGCAGCTCAATTTTTCGATCAAAATAAGTAGGAGAAAATAACAGCTTTAGCCAAATTGAATTATCGAAACAGAGTAATTGCTGGATGTTTTGTAGCAGCTTAAATGATTATGTGCAAACCTTTTTTAGGATGACTTATTGAGTGGGAAAGCATGTTTGATAAGCAGAACAGAAACACAACGATCGCATGAATTTATCAATAACGAAATTGCATCACTTTAGCCGAACCACAGCCTCCATTCTTGTACAATTATCATGATAAAATCAATTTTCATCAATTCTCAATAACCATCCTGGACAGAAGCATGCAGTCAATTACAGAGAACGGTGCTCTGAGAAAGAGACGCGATGATGGGGCAGTTAGACGTATTTGCGACCAGAAGAGCACACGGCATGTTTAACCGTTGAAATAAATTAATAATTGTGGAGGGGAAAACAAAAGTGGTGGTATTGCGACGATGATAGCAAAATGCTGAAACTAGTTCTTATATTAATCAAATACCAAGGCTAAGGTGATATCTTAATTTTTTATTCAAACATAGCAGCTCAACAATTCCTAATGAAAATCCAAACCCATTTTTAAAGAAATAAAGTGGTTAAAGCCATCTGAACTTTATTCAACAGATGCTGTTTACGTTTGGATTTCAAATTTTATGAAAATCTCTCTCCATGTGGTCGAAAAAGCAGAAAATTTAACGAGATGTTATCAATCTTGTTAGCATGAATAGTTTGTTTCTCAGACACAATATTAATAGCAATTATATTTTTGGGTTACAAAGAATGATATTGTAAGCTCTACCTCAACTAATCTTTGCTTTAACAAAAGCTGAAAGCTGATTTGGGGAACAATAATTCTTTATTAAATGAGCCCAATGCTAAAGGTTATAAGAGTGACAACCCTCTCTTTTATTACAAACCGCAACCTGATTGGTCGATTTGCAGCCACTGACAACCTTTGAAAATGTTTAACAAGGTTAGGGAGCAGGATTCAATGTACGGGGTTAAGAGAAACCAAGACTATTAGAGTTGCCATGCTCTGCCAAAGCAAAAGTTTTATGTATGATGAAGAAAGCTTATTGGTATTTAGTAAAGGTACCGTGGAATGATGCTTGTGATTAAGGTGAGCGGAATGAATGACTGTATTGT